CGTGTGCCCAGACACACCACCGCGGGCTGAGGCCACCTGTGATGCCACCACGGGCCCAGCCATGCCACTGCTGTCTATGTGCCTGGACACGCCACCGCGGGCCACCACCGCCTGTCTGCAGACACGATCCATGTCCACATGCTACCCGCCTGCAGACACACCGTCCCTGTCCAGGCACGACGTGTCACCTGCGTGCAGACACGCCACCCATGATCCAGACGCTACCCAAGTGCCTCAGCATGCCACTCATGGATGGGGGCCACCCGTGTCCACGCATGATCTGTGTCAGCTGCCATCTGTATTACCCATGTGCAGACACCACCCATGTGGTGATCCTCCCATGTGGTGATCCCACCCACGTGGTGATCCCACCCATGTGCAGACACCACCCATGTGGTGATCCTCCCATGTGGTGATCCTCCCATGTGGTGATCCCACCCATGTGCAGACACCACCCATGTGGTGATGCTCCCATGTGGTGATCCCACCCATGTGCAGACACCACCCACGTGGTGATCCCACCCATGTGGTGATCCCACCCATGTGCAGACACCACTCACGTGCCAACGTCAACCGTGTGCAGATGCCAACCATCTGTCCAGACGTGCCACCCGTACCCTCCTGGCACAGCTCAGCACAGAGGGGCCCTGGCCGGGCTCGGGGTGCTCACCTCCCCACGAGGGACCCAACACAGCTCTTCCCAGCAGAATAGCTCCTTTATTTTTAACAATGTTACGCTGCCTTTGACCATTTCATTTGCAGCACATGGATACAGGGGGAGGAATCGCTCAGTACAAAGAGAACCTGGGTTCACCCTGAAGACCTCAGTGGCCCAACAGTTTACAGCTGTAACAGGTTTTGCTGTAAGTTTGGGGGGAATTGGTTCTTTCCCAAATGGGTAAAAAGAATGTAGAAGTGTGGATTATGTTTATTTTCCATCTCCTGCCATGATCTTGTAATTGAAAATTTGAACTGTACTTGCTAATCTCATATGAATCAGTCATCTGCATATATTAGAAACAGCACAGACACCTTTTAATAGGAGTAAGACTAATGTGCCACCCGTATTTTGATTTCAAGCCCCAGATATGATGATTGGTGGGGAAAAGCAACCACTTGAAAGTAAGACCAAAGGACACCTCGAGGCCCAGATCAGAGTTCGAACCGACTGTGTATATGTTTAGATTTTAACTTGTTGTACTTGGTGATCAGATCCAGCTTACTGTGCCCGAGAGTCATTCTCTTCTCAGCCCCATACGCGCTGTTCTTTTCCATCAGCATGTCCTCAGTGAGTTTATCATAGCAAGGAACTACAGGCTTTTTATCTCGTTTTAGCTGGTTGTATGGGGATAGCAGGTCCAATTTTCCTTGTCCGGGACTCTCTCTTTTTTCCATCCCATAACAAGTGCTGTCATTTTCTGCTGTCAGTTCCCTGGAGGTAGCAGCAGGCCCTTTCTGCTTCATGCTTGTCCCGTTGCTACTGGCACCTTCCGAAAGGGTCTGCAGCATCTGCTCCTGTCTTAGTGGGGAGCAGTGGCTGCTGTTAGCATTACTGTCCCCTTGATAACCAGGTTTATTGGAGCTCAGGGCAGGGGAAGGCTCCAGCTGCAAGAATGTCCTTGCTGTCATGAGATTTGATTTGTGATACAAGGCTGGGGTGGATTTATTTGGAGGACTGTTTGGTGAGTCTGGTGGTTCTCCCTGCTGCTTAGGGCAAGTGGGCTTCAGAGATGTGTCTTCCTTCCCCTTCTTATTACCAGAATCAGAGCTTGAATCTTGCTTTTCCTGGTGTACATTGCAGCTGGAGTTTTTCAGAAAGGGAGACATTTTTATGCTTCTGATGCTTACATTGGAAAGGCTGCTGGAGGGGCTCAAGGTTTCAGCATCATTCACCTGTGTGGGTTTTAAAAGAGAGTTGGCAACTTTTGAGATATTCTGAGAAGAGGGGCATGTTCCAGGATCTGGCACACAGAAGCTGGTCACTGCTCTGGACTCTGCATACAAGTATCGGAATTCCTTGTCAAACTCTGCAACAATTTGACCACGGAAGTGGGTCACCAGGCTGGTGTGGACTTGGCTGCAAAGCCAGGTGAAACTGCGAAAAAAAGAAAAAAAAGCACATGTAACTTTAGTTCACAGAGTGCCAAGATACCTAGCATTAATTTTAACATTCGAGTGATGTATTGCTACCCAATTTATGTCATTAAAACTTTCTCTGAAATGTTCAAGTCTGAGATTACTTGTAGAGATGAATGTACTCACTACATAATTACAAAAGAACCACCCTAAACTGATCATTTAATTTCAGCTCGGTGATGTAATGAACTGTATGAAAATATAAACAATGAACAAGAAATATCAGCCGGTTTTCCTTAGCCTTAAGAAGGATGTAGAGCAACAACTGGTCCCTGCCTAAAAAGCACAACAGCATGTTTCAGGCCTTTTCTTCTCCAGCTTCCTCTTCCCAGCGCTCTGCCAGTAAGCAAGGAACCATCGTTTCCCGTTCCCCATCCCGTCCCTGTGTTGAAGAGTACCAGCTAACAGTTGGTGGGCAGGCTTGTCAGTCCACGCAGGGGGGTACTGTGGTGTCCATGGTTTGAATCAAGCCGGCAGTGGCAAGGAGAGCTCCAACTGTCTGGAGATGGTGTGGCTATGGGACAACGAGATACGAAGCACAGGGCACTGAAGGGCTCTTTCTCCCCAACTTGTATTGCAGACTTTCTAGCTCAGCATTTGGCTAGCACAGTACACTGCAACCATACCTTCCACAGAGGGCGAGGAGACTGGGGGGATATCGAGGCATGCCTGGTCTCCTGCTCTCTTCCCTTGCCTTGGCAGGAGCTACATTCTCACGTCTTTAACATCTGCAACATGTAATGGAGTTGAAGGAGCCGCTTAGGCAGGCAGGAGGGTGAGGAATGGAGATCTTGGGCACTGCCTTCAGGAACAGAGGTCTCCAGAGCCCCAAAGGAACACCTATGGACAGGAAGGCTGATGGTGTTTTCCATAAGTATTGCTGTGAGATTCCCCAGACTCTTTCCATCTTCTCCTTGCCGTCCAGTTAAGAGATGCATGGTGTTAGAAGTTCACGAGTCCTTTGTTCAGCCAAGGACTTTGCTTTGTACCAAAACTGTAACTTAATACTTAATTAGCTCTTCCCCC